CAATTGTCAGGAAAGAGAACGATCCGTGTGCAGATTGATTGTGAATGTCTGCGCTGTGGTCCTCTTCGGAGAGCGCCTTATTTGAGAGGAAGTAAGCAGCTATTAGAGATGTATCGTGGGATTGCTGAGGAATTAAGGAACGTTGCTAGCTTAGCTGAAAGTAATACAGTCAGTGATGAGTATTTACTGTTTTGAGTGAGCGGGTGGTCCAGTTAGCTGCAGATACGGATAATGATGCTGACTCATTAGTTGTCCAGATTTTGGAGGAAGTGGCTTGTCGTTTGCACAAATCTGTGTACCACACAAGAACAGTTGGAAGACGTGGATATTTGCTGCCCGCTGACGTCTTGGAATCATTTCTTCTTGCGGGTGTATCCGTCATGGATATTGGCAGACTTTTTGGGGTCAGTGAAAGAACTGTCCACAGGCGAATGGCAGAGTACAGTATGAGGTAAGTACGCATGTGTGGTATTTCTTTTGCTACTTTGAACTGATTTGTATTTTATATTTTTATTATAATTCCAGTTGTTACGGAACATCTGTGTAAATGACGTGCGGTGAGGTTCATCACTGGTGAGGCACTGACTTAATCAAAATCATAATATCCCCTGCATGTTATTGTTTACCTACGGAAATACAGAGTGAAAATAGCAATATAAATTATCATATTATTCTTCCATGATGACAGCTGAGGTTCTGCCTCCCCTGACCACACGTCGCTGATCTGTTGTGTTCAAATGTACAAATATCGAATTTTACTAGTAAAACATATTATGTTAAGCCTTTAATCCACTTAACCTGTCATTCACGAGAGGACCCAAATTTGGGTCCTCTCGTGACAGGGGTGTCAAACTCCAGTCCTCAAGGGCCGCTGTCCTGCAACTTTTAGATGGGCCTCTGCTGCACCACACCTGAAAAGAATAATTAGGTCATTAGCAAGGCTCAGGAGAACCGATCTACACAGGGAGGAGGTAATTAATTCATTACATTCCGCTGTTTTTTACCTGTGGCACATCTAAACACTGCAGGACAGCGGCCCTTGAGGACTGGAGTTTGACACCCCTGTCATTGTGAATGACAACCTGTGAATGACAGGTTAAGAATTTTAGAATTGTGAGATATATTCATATTCATCTACGATTGGCTCGCGATCTGTTCAGGGTGTACCCTGCTTCTGGCCTGTTGACCTCTGGAGATAGGTCCCCTCACCCATCATGACCCAACTAGGATAAGTGTTAATATATGGATTCATTCAAATATATTGAGGTGTAGATGGCATCAGAAAAGTATTTACGAATTTGTTGATGTCCACCATTAACATACTTCCACGTGACTGTTATGGTAATTTCTCTTCAAAATGTGTAATACATTTGTGTCAGAAATTTGTTCTTACAATTCCGTCCGTGTGGAGAACCTCACTTTCGGTTGCGTTTTATTTTTTCTTGTAGAGTATCTGAATTATTCTGCAACATTGAAGAAGATGAGCTGGACGGAGTTGTGTGAGAGATTCTAAGTTATCACCCTAATACAGGATACAAGATGATATTGGGCTATTTGAATGCCAGAGGTATTCGTATCCAAAGTAAGTCAGCAGATGAACCTATGGCTGCTTATATTAACACCAATTGCAGTTGTATATATAATTCAATTGATAACAAATAGCAGTTTACCACTTATATGCAATGTAAAGGGATCACAAAGAGAATTAAATGTCATACCGTTGAAAGTAAATTAAATGTTTTAATATATTGCAGTTGCATAGCAATATTATAATCTTATTTTAACTGTCATTAGTACACCATGGACTCATTGACATGTGAGTGTTTTAGGTGTATAGTTAATGTTTGAAATTTTCTATTTCATTATGTTCATCACCTCCAAATCAAACATGTTTTAATTATGAATTACTTAATTTTTCAAGGAAGAAGAGTGCAAGAAGCAATGTACCGAGTTGACCAGCAAGGAATTTTGATGCACACTTTCCAGCTTTGCACTGTTCGGCGTAGAAGATACTCTGTTCCAGCTCCAAACAGCTTGTGGCACATATTTGGAAACCATAAACTTATATGGTCAGAATTACTTGTTTGATAAAAGAAAGCAACACTTACGATACTTCCTGAACAAAGAGAAATAACTAGACCAATAAAATAAATAGACCAGATAAATGCTTGAGTGTTTGATTAGTATCTGGCAGATACTAATCAAACAAGTTAAATCGTCCTAAATCAAGCATAAAAAATGTTCCCTCTTATTCAGTGAGCATCTATTTTGAAATGGTTTTCATAACTTAATTTAAATCTTTCTGTTTCTTACGGGTCACACCTATTATGAAGCCTATAAACCTATTAAGAAAAATACATTTGTTTCATGTTTGTAAATGTTCTGTAGCTGCTTTATTATATTCACATAATGAAAA